CTCTTCCTCCGAATGTGTCGCTGCTGCGTGCCTGCATGCGTGATGATTTCTTGCGCGCTCACCACTGTTTGAGGCTGAGCCTGCCGGGCTCGGTCCAGCAAAACTTTGAAGCTCGTCTCCGTCTTTTGACTCGGAGGCATGAGGCTCTTGCCACGGCATGGGAAAACACCCGTGCAGGGCCTGGGTGGCCTGTCCCTGCAGATGCGTCTGTGGGAGCCGAAACAACTTTATCTCAGGGTACGAACGTTTTTTGTTTTATACTGTTCTTATTAAGAGAACAACCAACAAACAAAACAAAACAAAAAGAACGGCCCCGGGGAAGTACTGCAGACCTCCAGGGATCGACGTTGGGGGCTGCAGGCGGGGCGGGCGGCGCAGCCTCGGCGACAAAGCTGCCATCGTCCACTGTGGCTTGAGAAGGGCGCGGAGTTAACCGCGCGGGGCGCATCGCAAGGCGCGATGCGCGAAGTTGCACTCGGGAGCTTTGGATAGCGCGCCGTTCCGCCAATTCTGGCCCACCGCGCCTCGGCGCAACATGGTGTACACTTCGCGCTCCCCAGTCATCCATGAGCCAAGCTTTTCCCAACCTCCCGCGGAGCGGAACGACACGCTATCTTCTTGCAAGGGGTAGCGTATCGCCAGGGTCTCTGCGGCGACACGCTAAGCTCGGCGGCGAGCCCAGGGGTAGTGACAAGGGGCGGGCCTTTTCAGCAGGCTCGGAATATTTCCCCGAAGACACAGAAAGCCTCCCAGAGGGCTGGGAGGCTTCTGAAAAGCCCCGCCGCCTTCTGAGAAGGCCTCTTCCTTCTCATTCCCCTCCTCGCTCGCCGCCGATAAGCAAGAGTTCCTGACCGTAGGCGACCTAGCTAATAGCGGCAGCTGCCGCTCCCGCTGACACAAGTGTCGCGATCCTGGCTTACTGCACCCTGCCTCCCTGCATGCGATAAGAAGCATATCTCCGTTGCATGCGATAAGAGTCGGCGGCGGGCGAGGAGGGGTCGTGAGAAGGAAGAAGCATTATCAGAAGGCGGCGGGGTTTCTCAGAAACTCTCCGGCTTTCTGAAAAGTGTTCTGCGTCTTCGGGAGGGGTTAAGAAGACTTTTCTGAAGGCAGGCTAGGGGACATCCGAGCCTTCTGAGAAGGCCCGCCCGCCCCTTCTCACTTCCCCCCGGGCTCGCCACCGAGATAAGAGAGGACATCTTCGCGTATGGCTTGCTGTTTGTCGGCATCCCAGGCGCACTATCAGTCCTCTGCTTCGGCTGCTCCCGAAAACCCCCATGCCCATGCCCAGGACCTCCATGCCGGCTCCGATGCGCTGGCCTTTGGGCCAATTCTCTAGGCTGCCATCTCCATGGTACTCTGACATGGCCTCCCTGGCCGCCCCCACCCCCAGCATCTGCCCCGCAATCTCGCCGCTGCCGCCTGCACCAGTGGTTGATCAGAGTGACGGGCCAGTTTTCCACCACCACTACCATATGCAGGATGGGGGAGAGGGGAGGATGAGGAGGTCCTCCGCCTCCTCCTCCTCCCCCTCCTCCTCCGCCTCCTCCTCCTCTTCCTCCTCTTCGTTCTCCTCCTCCTCCTCCTCATCCTCCTCCCTCCCCTACCAGTAATAGTGGTGGTGGCAAATCGGCCCATCACAGAGTCCTCGTTCGGCGACGGTCGCTCCTCAGTTCCCCTCCCTCCCTCGCTACGTCCTTCTCCCTCCCTCCCTCCCCCGGACGTGCCGGCGGTCCTTCGACTGCTTATGTTGGTTCTCGGGGGGTCCCGAGTCGTCGGCGGTGGCGCAGGCGGTGAGCCCCTCGGGCGCCGCGCGCCACCCACGCGCCCCCCCGCGCGGCTGCCCTGGTTCCTCGAGAGGGCCGAGGCCCCCCTTCGCCTCCGGGGTGCTCCGCCAAGGTGCTCGTTCGAGGAGGAGGAGGAGGAGGAGGAGGAGGAGGAGGAGGAGGAGGAGGAGGAGGAGGAAGAAGAGGAGGAGGAGGGGGAGGAGGAGGAGGAGGAGGAGGAGGAGGAGGAGGAGGATGGAGGAGGAAGGAGGAGGAAGGAGGAGGGGGAGGAGGAGGAGGGGGGAGAGAGGGGGAGAGGGGGAGGAGAGAGGAGAGGGGAGGGGAGGAGGGGAGAGGAGGAGAGGAAGGATAGGAGTAGTAGGAGTAGGAGTAGGAGTAGGAGTCAAGCTAGCCAGCTCGAGCGAGTCAAGCATGGCATGCCCAGTCCCACCCGCCCTCCCACAACATAAGAAGCAAAGCTGGCACAACTGGGGGCCGAAGTCACACCGGCCAGCCGGTTTGGTACAGCTGATGCGGCCGCGATGGCGGTTGCCGACGGGAACTGGCGAGCGCGTGTTGAATGCCGCGCACGCATTGCCAGACGAGTCGAGAATGGCCCGGTACACCGCAGGAAGCCTGAAGGCCCCAACTTGTACTGTTTTTTTATAAAGGGGGGGTTTGGATGGGCGGGCGCGGGGTGTGCGCCGCATCCCATTCCTGCCAAGCATTTTGCGACGTGGACGACAGGACGTCCATGCTGAGAGGAAAAACGTTGGTGCGCGGCGCCGAGGCGAGAGCGACATGTCACCCCTTCGCGCGGGGTGTGCACCGCGTCCCATTCCTGCCACGCATTTTGCGACGTGACGACAGCACGACCATGTTGACAAGAAAAACAAAAACTGTGTATTGTCTTTTGCAGATTAGAATGGGACGGATTGGATGGGCGGGCGCGGGGTGTGCGCCGCGTCCCATTCCTGCTATGCATTTTGCGACGTGGACGACAGGACGTCCATGCGACGGTGCCAATGACGGCGACGACTCTAGAAGGATTTGAGCATGCGCTCGCGGCGACGCGCGCGCATGTCGCCCGCGTGGTATTTTTTGCACAGGATTCGCGGCCTGGGTGCATGACAGAGCATCGCGAGTGCACCGCGCGATGACGTGAAATCGCTGGATTTGACAGAATTCTTAAGATTCCTATGGTTTTCCTATGATTTCAGCAAGAGAGCCGGGCAGGAAAATTGTAGAATTTTTGTGAAAAAAGCATTGGGTTTTTGATGTTTTTATGTTGAAATGCTTGCAAACACACGGTGTTCGGTAGGATTCTGACATGAACGCGCGCGTGTGCTCTTTGTGGTATTTTTTGCAATGGATTATCGCCGTGGACGACAGGACGTCCATGTCGAGAGGAAAAAATAAGAAAAATGTTGATTTTGTATTGTTTTTTACAGGTTAGGATGGGACCACCCGGATGCGCCCGCTATCTGCCGGCCTGAGGGGGGAGTAGGAGTATATTCTAATAAGGAATAAGGATAGGAGTAGGAGTAGGAGAAGGAGGAGGAGGAGGAGGAGGAGAAGAGGAGGAGGAGGGGGGAGGGGGAGGAGAAGGGGCGGGCGGAGGAGGTGGAGGAGAAGGATGAAGAGATCTGATCTAGTTCCGCGCAACGTCAAACGGGATGATGTGGTGATGATGCTGATGCTGATGCTGATGCTGATGCTGATGCTGAATGCTGATGCTGATGCTGATGCTGATGCTGAGTGGTGATGGTGCTGATGGTGCTGATGGTATGCTGATGATTACGATGACGATATGATGCATGATGATGAATGATGATGATGATGATGATGATGATGAATGCTATGCTGATGCTGATGCTGATGCTGATGCTGATGCTGATGCTGATGATGCTGATGCTGATGCTGATGATGCTGATGCTGATGCTGATGCTGATGCTGATGCCGATGCTGCTGATGATGATGGTGGTGATGATGATGATGATGAGTATGATGATGATTGTGGTGATGATGATGCTGATGATGGTGGTGGTGATGATGAAGAGTACGAGGAGGATGAGGATGATGACGACGATGATGATGCTGATGATGATGATGAGGAGGAGGAGGAGAAGGAGGAAGAGGACATCTGATCTAGGTCCGCGCCACGTCAAAAAGGATGACGATGATGATGTTGGTGATGATGGTGATGGTGACGATGATGCTGATGCTGATGCTGATGCTGATGCTGATGACGATGATGACGACGATGATGATGACGACGATGATGATGATGATGATGATGATGATGAGGAGGAGGAGGAGGAGGAGGAGGAGGAGGAGGAGCTCCGCCTCCGCATGGCGCCCGCTGCGGTTGGCATCCCTGTGAGGCGCCCCCCCCTGTCAGGGGCGCTTCTGTGCGGGGCATTATCCCCCTGCCAGGGCTTCTTCGGTGCACGCTGCCCCGAGACCCTGGCATCCCTGTGAGGCGGCCCCCCCTGTCAGGGGCGCTTCTGTGCGGGGTACTATCCCCCTGCCAGGGCTTCTTCGGTGCACGCTGCCCCGAGACCCTGGCGCCGATTTTTGTTCCACACCGGGCGTTCTCGCTCCACGTCGGGCCCTGAGGCCTTTACAGTTCGACCTGCCTCGAAGTATGACGCAGAAAGATTGGGTCTGGGGCTCCGGTCGTGACTTTTTTTTTTCGACGTGGCAATTTTGATTGCGACGTCGGATCTCAGAGGGTATTCCCCCTGCCAGGGCTTCTTCGGTGCACGCTGTCCCCGAGGTTTGGGATGGTGCGCAAGAAGCGGGCTGGTGGCGCCACAGTGCACGCTATCTTTCCAGCGCGTCAGGGTGGCCCTTCGCCAGAGCGGCAGTCGAGTGTGCGGCTGTGGGGGGGGTCCAAGCCTAAGAGCACGGGCCGCTGCTGTCGCTTCGCACGCAGCGATCTGCAAGAAGCCGCGCACCAGAGATCGTTCGTTCTTGCCCAGGGCGGCCCAATGAGGAGGAGGAGGAGGAGGAGGAGGAGGAGGAGGAGGAGGAAGAGGAGGAGGAGGAGGAGGAGGAGGAGGAGGCCGAGGAGGGCGAGGAGGGCGAGGACGAGGAGGACGAGAAAGAGGAGGAGGAGAAGGAGGAGGACGCGGAAGAGGACGAGGAAGAAGAGGAGGACGAGGAGGAGGAGGAGGAGGAGCTGGGCCGAGCTTGCGCGTAGATAGGCGACGGACAGCGGCCGTGCCCGAGGTGGAGCGCCCCCGCTCGTGCATCGCCTTCACGGTGGTGGACGCGCCCAGGCCGCGGGCCCTGTCAGCTTTCATGGAGCACCTTCGGGGGGCCTGGTCTTGATGGGCCTGTCTTCCACCACCACCACCACCACCATAGCTTGGAGGGGAGAAGGAGGAGGACGAGGAGGAGGAGGAAGAGGACAAGGAGGATGAGGAGGAGGAGGAGGAGGAGGAGGAGGAGGAGGACTCCCTCCCCCTCCAACTTCTGGTGGTGGTGGTGTTGGAAAACAGGCCCATCAGGTCTGTCCTGTTGATTGTGGTCTTTCCTGGTGCGCCAGGCACAGCAAATATGAAGTCGGCCTGCCAGCAGGTGCCCCACGGAATGCCTCATTCTCCGTGGACCCCGTGGAACCCACAGAAGCTCTCGGGCACTGCAGGACACTCACCGATCGACGAGTGACGCGGTACACGTTTTATGCTCGCTAGATGTCCTATCGTATGTGCTTGCTGCATCCGACGCGGATTCTGCGCGGACAGCGGCGCGAAAGGACATCTTGCACCAAGGTTCCCGGACGATGCAGCATATTGCGGGGGTGGAGAGGATCGTTGATGGGTGGTGACGGGGGGGGACCCAAAGGGGGGTGAAGAAAAGGGCCCCAAAGGCGCCCTTTAGGGCCTCTTAGGAACCAGCAGGGGCCCGAAAGGGGCCCTGAAGGGCCCCTTCAGGGCCATTTTCTTCACCTCCCATTTGGGCCACTCCCCCGTATTTGGGTCACCCCCTTTAGGGCCCTTTTCTACACCCCCTTTAGAGCCCTTTTCTTCACCCCCATGTTTGGGCCACCCCCCGTCACCACCCGCCCGACATGAGCACACTGCAGCATACACTTCCAAATGCTCGCGCGGGTGCCTTGGGTCGGCGCCAGGACCCCCTGGCGTTGAGTCGGGCCTGTCCCGCTACAGGAGGAATATTCAAAAATTCCCAAAACATGCCTGGGGACGACTTTTGTTATTGTTTGGCAATGTTTGAACCTTTTTGGAGTATTTCCTTACCTAGGCTCTGCCTAGAAGGGTTCTTACTCTCTAGCTTAAAGGGGCCGGGCAGTGCTACACGCCCCGGGCGGTTCCCCCAGTCCCCGCCCCGCGGTTCCCCCAGTCCCCTGGGAGCTTTAGCCTTAGCTTTAGCTTTAGCTTAGCTTTAGCTTTAGCTTTAGCTTTAGCTTTAGCTTTAGCTTAGCTTTAGCTTAGCTTTAGCTTTTTAGCTTAGCTGCTTAGCTTAGCTTTGCTTAGCTTAGCTTTAGCTTAGCTTCAGCTTAGCTTCAGCTTAGCTTTAGCTTAGCTTTAGCTTAGCTTAGCTTAGCTTAGCTTTTAGCTTTAGCTTAGCTTTAGCTTAGCTTTAGCTTAGCTTTAGCTTAGCTTTAGCTTAGTTAGCTTAGCTTAGCTTAGCTTCAGCTTAGCTTTAGCTTAGCTTAGCTTAGGCTTTAGCTTAGCTTATAGCTTAGCTTTAGCTTAGCTTTAGCTTAGCTTTAGCTTAGCTTTAGCTTAGCTTTAGCTTAGCTTCAGCTTAGCTTTAGCTTAGCTTTAGCTTAGCTTCAGCTTAGCTTTAGCTTAGCCTTAGCTTAGCTTTAGCTTACCTTTAGCTTAGCTTTAGCTTAGTTTTAACTTAGCTTTAGCTTAGCTTTAGCTTAGCTTTAGCTTAGCTTTAGCTTAGCTTCAGCTTAGCTTTAGCTCAGCTGTAGCTAAGCTTCAGCTTAGCGTTAACGTAGCTTTAGCTTAGCTTTAGCTTAGCTTTAGCTTAGCTTTAGCTTAGCTTTAGCTTAGCTTTAGCTTAGCTTCAGCTTAGCTTTAGCTTAGCTTTAGCTTAGCTTCAGCTTAGCTTTAGCTTAGCCTTAGCTTAGCTTTAGCTTAGATCTAGCTTAGCTTTAGCTTATATTTAGCTTTAGCTTAGCTTTAGCTTAGCTTTAGCTTAGCTTTAGCTTAGTGTTAGCTTAGCTTTAGCTCAGCTTTAGCTCAGCTTCAGCTTAGCTTTCGCTTAGCTTTAGCTTAGTGTTAGCTTAGCCTTAGCTTAGCTTCAGCTTAGCTTCCGCTTAGCTTTAGCTTAGCTTTAGCTTAGCTTTATCTTGGCTTTAGCTTAGCTTTACTGTTACTACTAATGCTGCTTTCCTAGGGGCTCCAACTCCTAGGTAGGGTCGCACTGGCATACTTTTTATTTTCTCGCCCAAAATCAGCCTGTAGGAGGACACGCCCGACTTAACCCTGGCAGGGCCACTGGCGCCGCCGCCTTGACGCGCCCCCTTGGCGCGCCAGGGAGGGAGGGAGCGGCGGGGTCCAGTGTCGATCCAGGGGCTCCGCTCGGACCTCCGAAGGTTTAGGTTCGTGCCCGTTCGCTCATTCATGCCTTCGGTCCTCCTCTTCCTCATCCTCCTCCTCCACCACCTCCTCCCCCTCCGCCTCCTCCTCCTCCTCATTCTCCTTCTTCTCCTCCTCCTTCTCCTCCACCTCCTCCTCCTTCTCATCCACCTCCTCCTCGTCCTCCGGCTCCCGCGATCCCAGCTTCCGTTCGGGGGTTGCAATAGGGCTCCCCAGCCCAGGGTGTCCCCAGGACCCTCCCGCGAGGCCCAGAGAGTCCCATAGGCTTCCGGAGTGGCGCGAAAGGGCGGGGACAATTTGGACCAGGATCCCCCTGATCCCCCTACCATGTTGACTTTGTGCCCTGCTTTTCCTACCCCCCTCGGCGCCGCGAGGGGGGGCCCATCTCAGAGCTCCGACATGTGTGGTCATTTCGTAGCCGGTCCCCAGCGCGTTGGACCCCGTTCCCGAGATTGATATCTCGTCGAGTGTAGTTGTTCATCGCTCCGGGGCCTAAAAGCGATCCCCATCCCACCTCCTCCTCCTCCTCCTCCTCCTCCTCCTCCTCCTCCTCCTCCTCCTCCTCCTCTTCCCTCCTCCTCCTACACCTTCTCCTTGGGTTGGCCTGCGCACGAATCGAGCGCTCCCTCCATCCTCCCTCCTCACCCCATCCATCGTCACCCGTCCGTTCCCATTTCCACCTTCCCAAATCACGATCTCGCGTTTTTTCTCACAACGTCGAGCCCCAGAGATCCCGACCTTGTCCACAGGGCGTTTTTTTGACACTCACGGGGACCGATCGATGATGGCCCCCATAGGCCGAAAGCAGTCAAACACCGCCGTCGCTGCGTTTTCTCAGCGCGAGTTGATTTGGACTATCCCTCCTCACCTTGCTCCCTCTTCTCGTAGCTGTCCCCAGCATCTCGGGTCTGCGCGCCCCTCGTTGGGCCTCCACGGAGCAGCGCATCCAGAGGATCCAGCAGATCCCCTTGGAGGAGGAGGAGGAGGAGGAGGAGGAGGAGGAGGAGGAGGAGGGCGAGGAGGAGGAGGAGGAGGAGGAGGAGGAGGAAGAGGGCGATGAGGAGGAGGAGGAGGCTCCCTCCACCCCTGCCTACTCGTGCGCCCGGTCCTGGATCTGACCTCACGGATCCGCTCTCCTGCGGACTCGCTCGCTCGTGCTCTCGTGCCTCCAGCTCCTGCTCCACGCTGGGCTCAGGAACCTCTCGACCCAGTCCTTCGCCTAGATTATGCGGCATGCGTCGCTGTCCACCCTGGTCCTCCAGAGCGCTAACAGATAGCACTTCAGACCTGTAGTCCCGCAGCTTCATCATCCTACCTCTTGCATTTCTGCCGGATGGTGGAACCCTTACATAACGGGGTCTCGCCTGAGTGGCATGCCAACCAGGTGCTCGTCGTTCAAAGGGGGCGCGTGCCACAGTAGAGACGAAAACATGAAGGGACTTTGACGAGTGGGCTTAGGACCGAGGGGGAATCCTGCAGCATCGTTGGTGCGTCCAGGGTCTACTCTGGTCCTCCTCCTCCCCTTGTTTTTCTGTCCTGACGGCCTGAGGGATGCGCGATCGCGGCCCCTGTCCTCCTCCTCATCCTCCTCCTCCACCTCCTTTTCCTTCTCCTCTTCCCTCCTCCTTCTCCTCCTCCTCCTCCTCCTCCTCCTCCTCCTCCTCATCCCTCCTCCTCCTCCTCCTTCCTCCTCCCTCCTTCCTCCTCCCCTCCTCCTCCTACCCTCCTCCTCCTCCTCCCTCCTCCTCCTCCTCCTCCTCCTCCTCCTCCTCCTCCTCCTCCTCCTCATCCCTCCTCCTCCCCCTCGCTCAGGAGCTGGCCCCGGGCCGCCTCCCATGGGCCAAGCGCCCATCCGGGCTTGGAGCCCAGCACGGCTCCGGCGACGAGGGCCTCCGTGAGTGATCCTTTCGGCCCGAGAGGCGGTCGCCGGGCCGGGTGCAGAGCCAGGCCACGCGCGCCGCTCTCCGCGCGAGGCTTGGCGGGTGGACGGGTCTCGAGGAGCAGTGCCGTCTGACCGGCCCCCATCCCTTCCCCCTCGACCTACACACCTTCCGCACCTGCCGGACGGCGGAGGCCGCGCAGCGGCGGCCGACGGCGCGGCCGCGGTCGAGGCCGCCGTCGAGGCCGCAGCGGCGGTCTCGGCGGTCTCCGCGGCCGCGCCGCGGCGGCAGCTGCTGCGCGGAGGGTTCGGAAGGCGGAGGTCCAGGGCCAGCCCACGGCAGTTCGGCCCCGCCATCTGGACCTTCCCGAGCTGGGGGCGGGCCCCTCGCCGCCCCCACGGCCCCCCTCTCGGGGGGGCAGGTCGGCCCGCGGGGCCCAGGCCGTGCCAGTGGGGGTGGGGACCCAGACCCCCAGGCAGAATCCACGACGCGAGCCCCAGAGGTCTGGACTCCTTCCCTGGGACCGGTTTTTCATCCTGGGTCCTTTTTTGACGGTCCCGAGGCCCGGTAAGGGCCCCCAGAGGCCGGGAATATCGGAAAACCTTCCGTCGTGATTTTTGTCATGACTCGAGGGGGGTTTGGGATGGAGGGATTCTCCGAAGGGCTTAGCCGACCCGTCCTCCTCCTCCTCCTCCTCCTCCTCTTCCTCCTCCTCCTCCTCCTCCTCCTCCTCCTCGCCCTCCCCTCCTCGGGTCGCCTACAGCCCCAGGGGAAACCGTCCAGTCTGGGGATCGGTCAAACGATGCTCAGGGGAGGATGAGGTCGGCGCGTGCGAGCGTGGGGCCCGGGTCGGCGATGGCGGCCTCGGGGGGGTTCTCGGCGACGGAGAGCCCCCAGAGCGCCCGCGGGCCGCAGGCGAGGCTGCTCCCCCCGATCCACACAGGTTCGAGGTGGGGAGCAACAGCATGATTGGGATGACCGCGGGGGGCTCCTCCTCCTCCTCCTCCTCCTCCTCCTCCTCTTCCTCTCTCCCCCCCTCCTCCTCTTTCCTCCTCCTCCTCCTCCTATTCCTCCTCCTCCTCCTCCTTCCTCCTCCTCCTCCTCCTCCTCCTCTCCTCCTCCTCCTCCCCCTCCCTCCTTTTCCTCCTCCTCCTTTCCTCCTCCTCCTCTTTCTCCCCTCCTCCTCCCTCCTCCTCCTCCTCCTCCTCCTCCTCTCTCCTCCCTCCTCCTCCTCTTCTCCTCCCTCCTCCTCCCTCCTCCTCCTCCTCCTTCTCCTCTTCCTCCTCATCCTCCTCCTTCTCCTCCTCCTCCTCCTCTTCCTCCTCCTCACGCGCAACTATCTCAATAATCCTCGTTGCTGGGCTTGCGGGCGGGACAAGCAGGGGAGGCCAGATCCAAGTGGTGCCACCCCGCCTGGAGCCCTTGACCAGCGCTCCTCGTCAGCGGGTCGACGCAGTGCAGCAGCCAGCGATGACACAGGTGGGCCAGCACAGCCTGCCCAAGCAGAGGTGGACGAGCTCACCACCGCCCGCCGTGCATTGGCAGCCTTGCGTAGGCTGCAGCTCGATGAGCAGTCGGACCTGGTCCGCAGCGCGCGCAAGCAGCTGGCAGAGGCTGAGCAACGGCAGCGCTCGACCCTCACGCCTGATGACATGCTTCGCCGTGCTCTGGATCGCTTGGCTGCGAAGCAAAAAGAACATGATACCCTTACCAGCCATGTTAAGACGCTCAGCGATGACCTGTGCACCAAGCAGGCGGAGTTGGAGACTGCAGCCCAGGAGCTCGCCAGCATCCAGCTGGAGGTCGCGACGGCACGTACGGCAGTCATGGCAGCCGCGCAGCCCCCGCCTGCAGGACCAGATGCCCTCGAGCTTGAGCACGCGTTTGGGCGCTTACAGGGAGTGGTGGCAGCCGCACCTGCTGCCGTCGGGGCTGGCAATGCAGCCACCATGCTGGACTCGCTCACCACCCACATGGCCGCCTTGCAGAGGGCTCTGGCAGCGCAGGGGCGGCTCGCGGCTGGCCAGGACGTGCCGCCGCCCGCCCCTCCTGCTCATGATCGTGCTGGGGGCGTGCCAGGAGGAGTTCACCCCTGGGACGATGCTCTCGAACAAGATGTTGCAGCCCCTTCCACACCCGCAATGGCCAGCAGCGTGCAGCAGTGACCTGCGGGGGAAGGTCCACCTGGCTAGCGACCTGGGCTGCATGACGTTTGCTCGCTTCGGCATTGACATCGTCGTCGGCGGCTAGCCGAGGCACACCTCTTCTTCAGTCAATAGTGATTCTCTTCAGCAGCAGGGGCCTAGCGGCTACCAAGTACCTTATGAAGGTGGATTTCCAGGGAGGCTGGTAGGAATACCAACCGATACGACGGCTTCTTCTTCTATGTGGCATGTGTGCCAAGCTGGCGGCGACCCAGACGGCATGCGTGACCTTGCAACTTTGACGCCTGGTGCAACTTCGGAAGTGGGTCTGGAGCATGTGCCAGCCGAGCCATCGAACATCCTCTATACGTACGGCTTGCCGACCCAGTCTGCAGCGTTCAGTTTCCGCCCTACGGCGAGCTCTCCGACTCTCCAGGTCGTCAACAGACAGGGAGATGCTGAAGCTTGGCCTGCGCTTCGTCCATCAGATGGACGCCTTACCGTTGACATGGAGATCATCGGCTTGGTTACGCAGAAGGAGCCACCTGACTCACACCCGCAGGTTGGTGATGTTGTTGTTGCTCCTGCGCTGATGCAGCATCCTCCTGACGTGGCCCGTCCCCTGTCCGCGGTTGGGCGCCGGCCATGGAGGCGAGCCAAGAAAGGTGTTGCTGCCTCGGCCCAGGCCAACAAAGGCATCACTATCGTCACCTTCAACTCCAGCGGCTGGCCTCAGGCTAAGGACTTTCTTGTTTCAGTTGGTACGGCCACTGTTGTCATGATCCAGGAGCACAAACTACGCGGTGACGCTCTTTTGAGGGCCCAGGAGTGGGCCGCTGCTAATGGATGGAAACCGTTCATGAGTGCGGCACTACCAGGTGTGGCTCGATATTTGAAGGGCGGCGTGGGTATATTTGTGCGTTCTCACGCTGGTGTGACAGTGCCTGCTGGTACGGCCTCACATGATATCAATCCAGGCTTCTGCGTTGCAGTTCATATCCATGCGGGGCCCAGGCACGGGTTCCTCGCGGTGGCGCTTTACATGGGGCAAGGATTGGGCCTTTCGGATCACAATTATGACAGGGCCGCTGCGGTGGGCGAGTTTCTATCAGATCGTAGGCTGCCGTACATGCTTGCAGCCGACTGGAATATGTCACCGCCAGATTTGAGTGATAGTGGTCTATGCGACAGACTTCGTGGCCGTTTGACAGCACGTGAGCAAGGCGCATATGGAGATCCCAAGACAGGTCGTGAGACCACTCTTGGTTACTGGATGGCCTCTGACGCGATTGCCGCTGCGCTCAGTAGGTGGGGCCCTCGCTAGGTATCAACCTTCGGGCACCTCTTACTCTCGGGCGCTCAGGCTCCTCGGACTCCGCGTGCATGACGTTCGTCTTGCCCTCCCTCGAGGGGCGGTTGCCTTTGTTCGGGCCTGGTCTTCTCTCCAGGACTTCATTGAGGCTCGTCGTCGGGATGGTCGATCGCGTAAGGCAATGCCCCACGAGGTCTGCGCCATCGTGGTCCATTTGCTGGCCTCAACGTTTCGGGGGCCTCAACACTTCTGGGACCACCATCTCCGATTCGTAGGGCTCTACCCCAGTCGACTGGCCGAGCAGGAGGGGCGCAGACTGGCCTCAGCTAGATCGCATGCTTGCGCCGATGGATTTGGACCAAGCTTACTACACAGCCTGGACCTGTCCATCGCTGGACCAAGCCTCTTGGGTGGCTCCTCTCCCAGGTGGATACTTCCCTTGGGCCAACTAGCTTGCCAGGGGACGTCATCGAATCTCAGCGGGAATCCTGGGCAAGCATCTGGGGAGCTCAGGCTCGTGAGGGCCCCGCCCTCTGCAGGAGTCTCTTCCAGGAAGGGTTATCTAAGGAGAACATCCAGGGGGTGAGGCACCTCTGCGAGAACGGCCCAAGGCCCCCGCCGCCCCAGATATCCCAACTACGCGCTGCTGCGCATCAATTTCCGCGACGCACAGCCATAGGGGCCGATCGATTTAGGCCTCGTCATTGGGTTTATGTATCTAATGGGGCTTTGACTGCTCTTGGGTATATACTGCATCTCTGTGAAATCTTTGGGAACTGGCCAGGCATCTTTCGGGCGGTGCATGTGGTGCTGCTCGCGAAGCCCCTAGGGGGCTACAGGCCGATCGCATTACTGGCCTCGGTCTACAGGGTTTGGTCTAAGGCGCGTTTGTCTTGGGCACGGACACGGGCCTCACAGCTGAACAGGCCTTGCATCGCCTGTGGGATGCAGAGATCTACCACGAATGTTGCCGCCAGAGTCCTAGTCCAGAGCGAGGCTGGACCGCCGCCTACTGGTGATGCGCATGCCTCACTGCACGCCATCGTGGACATCGCCAAATGTTTTGGTAAGGTGCCGTGGGACCGTGTGTTGACCTCTGCAGCCTATCAGGGATTCCCAGGCTGGTTAATGGCGTTGGCTTTTCCGCATGTATTCCAGCTCCAGGAGGCTGGTCTGGGACGGAGCGTTCTCGGCGACCACGTATGCGCGCAGAGGGGTACTCCCAGGATGTGCCTTCGCCATGTTCATTCTCCAATGTATCATGTTGGGGCCTTTCGACTCCCTTTTCGCGCACGCGGACGCGATAGGGCGTGCTCTCGACCTATACGCCGACGACATTACGGTCTCTGTGTATGGCCCTGTTTCCAAGGTTTACAAGGGCTCCTTGAAGCTCCTGCGCATGCTTGTTGCGGTCCTTAATGGACTTGGTCTCCCTGCGGCACCCGAAAAGATGAAAGTGACGTCTAGTGTTCCTCGGTTGGGGCGGGCCGTATGCAACGAGCTTCGGGCCATGGGTTACCGTTATTCGGCGGCGCTGGGGGTTCTTGGGATCGAGATTGGGTCGGGGCGTCCAATCAAATATTCCAGGCTAACGTCGAGGGTACGTAGCACTTTCCGACGCGTGCATAGGTTCTTTTCTGTTCGCCGCGCTGGTGCTGTTTCCACGCGGGCCAGGCCGCCCCGCCCGCGGTGACGCGCGGCATAGGCGTGCATGGTGCGCCACCACAGCTCGTTAACAAGATGCGCACACTACTTCGTCATTCCTGGCATGCGCCAGGTGGATCAACGTCTGCATGGGCCACTTCCTGTTTGCAAAGTTCCCTGTGCTCGGATCCCCAGAATGCGGCATGGACTTCTCGCATCCATCAGTGGGCGCTTCTTCACAGGGATCGGGCAGTTCCTGAAGGTGTCTGCAGCGAGCGCGGCGGAAGCATATACCGATTGTTTATCGTGCCGGGCGCCCCTGGGCGAAAGTCGCTGGCCCTGCAGGGGCCACCCCCCTGGCCCTGCGGGACCTGGAATGGCGATCTACGGCCGCACATGTTTTCGTGACGGACCAAGGTGAGACGCTCAACCGCTACCAGGAAGCTCCCTCCACGATCCTCCATCTGGCTCGGGGGTCCTCTATTCGTCGTCTGTGGGAGCTCTGGTCAGCTCGCTCGCAAGGCCCCAGTGAGCCCATGCTCCCGAAGGCCCCTGAGGGATATTGGATCGAGCCCATCATCAAGTTACTAGCCCACGAGGAGCCCCATGCCGAGGAGGATGATGGGGATATGTCAGTGGATGGTGGGGGACTTGATACTGAACGTCTTGGGAGTCGGCCCAGGCATGATACTCCTAGCGGGCACATAATGGGCACTACGTCATCTTGGAAGCCCACAGCGAAAGAGTCAGGTCTGGTAAGAGCTGTGGTGGCAGGGGGGAATGTGGACTCCTGCACGACTCAAGATGCATGGGTATTGCGATGCCGACGAGTGCCCGCTCTGC